TTTTTCAAGGATTGAGATGATTTATGAAAAAAGTTTAAAAATTTTCAAACATTTTCATTATTAGTTTAAGCCTGATTGACACACTCAAAAAAAAATTTTATCGAAAAAATATATACTTTCACGTCTGTGAACATTAAATAAAAAACATCAAACTTAAAATTTGGGGGACACTGAAAAAACAACCACGTATAAAAAAACAGAAATCGTCAAACACCATTTTTTAAACCCTGACCTACTTTAAAACTGTTTTTTTCTTGATTTATTTAACCTTTTGTCATCAAACTCTTTGGTAAAAGCTAAATATTCTGAAAAAAAAATCCTAAAAAACGGGCCAAAATTGACCGCGTTTTCCCGACACTCCAGATTATAAATTTTTTCAAACTTTTGGAGAACCGACCTCAACTTTTTTTCGTAAACGCAAGAAATCACTAATGACAACCATTGAACAATGAAAAAGTAATGATGCTACGCTGAAGAACAGTGGAGCAAGCCACCCTCATCGAACAGCAATAAACACACTAAAAATAGGTTTCAGCAAAAAAAAAACATTGTTTTGACAACAATAACGAAAATTGTTGGACCTGGATCCTCTGACCTTCCCCATAAAAACACTTTGGCAAGCTTTGAGCAAAATTCAACTGTTGTTTGAGACGGGACAATTAATTTAAGTTAGAGATATAAAGTTAAACACTACTCTGCAAAAATAAAATAGGTTCTAGTAACAAAAAAGAGTGTTTCGACAACAAAAACGTAGTATACTGATCTTAAATCCTACGAGTGTACTCAACATGACAAAAAAGATCCCTCTTTCATACTTGTCTCGACACTTGTACCAATCCGTCTAATGTCTCCATTTTCAAATAATTTTCTGAATTAAGTCGTTTTATTTTTGCCTAATCTTAAGCCAGTGTAATTCCGGTAGCTAACTCTTTTTCGTCTGATCCGGCAGCTAACTCATTAGTCATAATAACCAATGTTTATAAGCTAAGTTGAAAGGAAGTCACTGAATTAATCTTATTGAATATATCTTTCATTCAGTATTGCTGAATTTATGGGGTTCTTAAGACAGGGTGGCCGAGTGGTTAAGGCGTTGGACTGCTATTCCAAAGCGGTCTCCGTGCGTGGGTTCGAATTCCATCTTTATCAAAAAAATTTTCAGATAATACAATTTAGTTTTCGATTTCTCCAACCTTATACATTTACAATTATGCAATTGAAATGACAATTTTTGTCATGAATTCTACTCTCCACACAAAAGGTACCACTAAGAAAGAGTTGTCCCTTTAAAATAAACAAGTTTCTTGAGAATAAGACATTTTCATTTCTAAAATCGTTTAAAATTGGGAGTTAGCTATTCAGAACGATGTTGTGCTCAAACACTTTAAGCCCAATAACTCCAAATAATCAATTTATTCTATATTGTGTTTCCGAAACTATGATCCCAAAAACTGTTTACTGGGATCCCAAAAACTAAAGGCGACCAATGTTTTAATATTTGTTCGTGGGTTTCGCTGACAATGGTTAACTCCTTGCGTTTAAGTTCCGCATTGCTATAGATAAGAATTCAAACTCTAGCTTTTAATCGTTCATTTGCAAGTTCAGTAAAAAAACAAATTCGGAATCAACGTTTATTTGTGAATTCCGCTTACAAGTTTTGCGATTTCCACTTAAGTATGCGGATTCCACTTACAATTAGCTGAATCCACTTACAGTTGCGAAATCCAAACAACTGGCGGAATCCAGGTATTTGTACGCGGAATTCATGTTAATTTTGCAATTGAATTCCACTTAAGTTTTGGAACATGCCCGCATCCAGTTTCAAGCGTTAATAATCGATTATATTACGATTTTAGTACCAGTATCACTATAATTGAGAAACAATCACTTTTGGTCAAATAATAATCGATTATAATCTCTCTTTTTAAATTCAAATTATAATTAATTATAATCCATTATAATCGATTATTTATTCGTCTATTTTTTGATACAATTATAACTGATTATAATTGATTATAATCCATTATTTTTATTCAAATTTCTATTTTTGTAGTTTTGCACAAAAATCCATTATAATTGATTATAATTGATTATAATCCCTTTTGTTTGTCCATTTTTGCTTCGAAGTTGAATCTAAATTGCTTATATTTTATGCTTTTTGTGTACGTTGGTTCCTATGAAAAATGAGGAAAATGTTTTTAAAGTTTTCCAATTAATTCAAATTTTTCATTTCTTCCCCATTAGAGTTGTTTTGTGATGCTTATTTAAAGCTTTTTTTAAACACCAAAACAACAGCAGATTGATTTAGTTTCATGATTGATTTGGCAAATTTATTTATCATCTACCGCGAGAACCTTTCCACTCATATGAAAGGATCTCTATGAAACTTTTGTTTCGTGGTATAACTTTGTGTTCAGATGAACCAAAGTGTTCAAGAGATCTCTCTTTTAGAGATTTTTTTATTGACACAAAAAAATAACCCATAAGATATATTTCGAATATAAGAAAATTTCGGTAAAATAAGAGATTATAATCGATTATAATTGATTTTCAGGGTTTTTAGTAAGAACTATAATCAATTATAATCAAATATAATCGATTATAAGAGATAATAATCTCTTGGAAAATATCACGATTATAATCAATTATAAATCCCTTAAAGACCTAATTTTGGTAATTATACTCGATTATAATTGTCCAAAAATCATCATAATAATCCGTTATAATCGATTATTTACGCCTAAACTTGGAAGCGGGTGTGTACAGATTTGTCTCTGGAATCCATTAACGCACACACAATTGTGCGCCTATCCAGTGCACTGTATGGTCTCGTTATTAGTTACTGATTTTGTCAATTTTACAATTTTTAATTTAAAAATAGCGTAAATTTTCCCTAATATGAAGTTGGAAATTTTCTCTTTTTTCAAATTAATATGTATTGTCAAAATGTTTTATTTCTTGCGCAACCATTGGGAACATTTGTAATCAATTTATCCAACTAAGAACCCAATTATTATAACCAGTGTCACAAGTAGGTTCAACGCGAAGAAAACTCGGTCAACGAAAACTGCAAAATACTTCCACAAAAAATCCATATTCTCTTCGCTTTCAAGAAAAACTGCATTTTTGACCACTTCTGTCAAATTTGATTCAATTTTTGCTGTATCATTGTTCCCGATAGATGCTGTGTTTTGCTTCCCTTGATTCGATAGCGTGCTCCAATGCCTATTTTTTCTACAATCTTGCTCCTTGTTACTATTTGGGGTTTTGCCAATATCGTTGACTTTGAAAAATGTTCCTTGTGTTTCAGAGGCGTTGCCAGAACTTTGTCCGGGAAATGCGCGCTCAAAGTCACATGGTCTGATTCCGAAAAACCACATTGCTTTGTGTGATATAATGTTGCGTATTTTGAAGCCCATTTTGCTTTTGCCGCCCAAAAAGTGCAAGTTGATCACTGAAACAAATGAAACAAACATTTTTTTTTATATAAGAGTGCAACTGAGTTTAACATCCGACTTGGTGTCAAAAAATTGACATGTTGTATGCGTACATATTTATAGGTCACGCGTTGTGTTTTCAGCCATACTGATTCAGTTCTCCAATATTTTTTTCTAAAAAAATTCTAACTTTCCCTATAGAATTCGGAGAATCCAGCGCTTTCCCTATAGAATTCGGAGAATCCAGCGCAAGGTTTTTTCCAGAAGAATAATTCTGTTGAGGGGAAATTTTCCGGTCAATAATCAGATTTTGGGTTTTTATTTGTGTGAAAAAGCCATTTGATTTTTACTAAGAAGTAACTATGAAACTAATGTAACTTTACCGAACACTGTCAGAAGTGAATTCACCGATATCTGAAAGACACTTAGAGCCAAAAAATACGTGATCCTCGGAATATGCAGCGAACTGGCCGGAAGGAAGTAGGAAATAGTCCCGCAAGCCACAGTCTGAGCCAGTAACATGGTAATTGCGAAAGAGATTTTCTCGCCCGACTCGCATGGGATGAGAAAGACGAGAGCCGAAAAGATGTAGATCATGAGCATGGGAAGCATGAACACAACCGAGTAGAAGAAGTGTCGTCGTTTCAGCCGGATCTTCATAGCCCCGTAGTTGAGCTTCAAAATAATCAATTAAACTGAGAGCGCTTGTCGACTTTTGAAAAGTTATTAATCATAAGTCTGAGCATGAAAAGTGTTGCTCATGCATAACCCAAAAACACTCTAAAATACTCTGAAATGTCGAAAATTCTTTTATTTAATCTACTTAAGAATCTCCCTTTCCCCTTTCTGATAAGGGAGGGAGATTGTAAAGTAGATCCCATGATCCAGTTTGATTTATTTCCAACTTTTCGAAAGTCTCTTAAAGTTGAATTGATTTTATTCCTTATCTCCGCGGCTGTTTTCGTTTGTCACCATGTAGAAAGTGACTGGACGCAAAAGTTCCCATTCATCATGTTCGTTATAGTGACTAAGACTTGCTTCCAGAGTCAGCGCCAAAACAGGATCAAACTCTAAACAAGTTTCGGGCAACTGTTTTTACGAAATTCATAAAATCATACTGAATGTAGGATTCAAACGCGAGGTGCTAAATTTTGTACACGGACTCCATGCGAGCTGGATATTTCTCATATGATGGTAAAAGAATCAGAAATTACAAGCAAAAACATCATTCAAAATTATGAACTTATAAACAGCCAAAAACCGACCACGACGATCTGGGTTCCAAAATCAATTGGACTTGTTTAACGTCAAAAAATGTTTACAACGTGCTTTAAAAAATGATTACGTCTCAAATGGGATAATTCCTAAAAGGCATAAGACTTTAAAGTATCCCAGTTGGCCTAATATTCAAAAAAATCCCAGATGGCATAAAACTTTCTTACATGGCATAAACAGTCAAACTTTTGAAATTAGAATAGTTTGTAGATAACTTTATTGTTTTGCTTACTTGTTTTGACTTTTTCCAGTACTCATGTTCACACTGCATGAACTTCTGCATGATTAAAAGATTTCGGTTAGGTGGAAAATAAACTGCCTTCTTTTGTTGGGGGTTGTATCTCACCTTAAATCCTAGCTCGAAGACGCAGGCAGATATTGTGGGGGAATGTGAGGTTGGATGAGTGCACAAGGTATACATCCCAAAATTTAACGTGAGTCTGGAGCCACGTTCAGTTTCAGTGCAAAGACAAAAAAAAATGAAGTAGCTTCTATTATTTTTAATAAAAGTATCCGTCATAATTCAAATAGCAACCCCGTCCCTTATTAAAATATTCAATTTTCCGGGTTGAATTCCCACCACTAATAATAGCTTTTTCTGTAGTATTCCGTTATTTTCCAGCGCTGATTCATGTATAATTCAGAGTTTTTTGCAAAGCTAAACCTGCGATATTTCAGAGCTATTTCACTAATGATTCCGTAGAGAGCGCTAAAACTTCAAAAACATTAACTTCTTGTAGTAGCTTTCAAATGAGAGTGTGAGTTCAGAAATCCTATAAATTGTGATAAGCTAAAGCATCGTACGCCGAGGAAGACTAAGTATCCGCTAAACTCATGATTGCGGGATCCATTTCCAGTAGTTCACAATTTTTGCTCATTTCGATAGGTTTCTCTTTTGCCGTTTCATCGCTGAAAATTTGCCAAGTTAGAGTTAATCTATCGATAAAATTTGACACTGTGGCAATGAACATCGTTAATTCATCAATGACAATCGCTGTTTTTGCACTTTTTGTCGCTAGTTTTCAATGTAAACTCAACCCGGGTTGGCTCATTTAAAAAAAACTGATACTAGCTTGTGTTAAAAGTTGATATGTGATTAGTGAAAACTGTCTGGAAAGAGTTAACATTTTCATGCCTCAAAGTTTTCACAACTTTTTTTGATTTTGCTTATGCCATTTGGGAATTATTCCAATTGGGAAGTTACTCAAAAAATAGAAACGACTCTTTATTGCAAAAATATCAATTTGTCGTTGCAATAATTTTGAATTATATCGCTCACCCAAAGTGTATTGCGTGTTGTCGAGTATCCAGGATCCAAACAAGATTGGACAGTTTTGTTGGTCGTACGGGAAGTCGGTGACGTCGAAATTGCATGTGAGTTTGACGGTGATGAGTGTTGTCAAGCAAGACACTATGCCCCTGTCACCCCTCACAAACTGACGGGGGAAGGCGTCGTGTAGAATATCAACCGCGTCCAGCATTACTGAAACAAATGAGACGTCTGAAAACGTCAGAGAGTTCTTAGCATGTCTTTGGTGTTACAAAAATGTTATACTTTAATATAACTACTTTGTCTGTACTCAAATCAAATTTATCTTCGAATTCAAGTTGAATACATGTCAAAAGTTACCAGAAGGTCTAATGACAACCTTTCAGGCTAATGATTCAAGGATGCCACGATTTTTATGTCAGATAGGCGTGAAAACGGTTTTTATGTGAAGAGTTCGGGCGTATTTGTCAGTACCAACTTACCTGAAATAAAATACTTTCCTTTTTCACAACCAGAACTATAAGATTAATTGACCTTTAGACCAGAGCTGGCTTAATTGATCATATGCCTACTTTTATTGACAAATTGTTTTCCTTATATATCCAAAATTTACCAAAAAAAAAGATTTTCCTGAAACTTCCCGGGCTATTCCAAAATCTTACTGATATCTGCAGTCCAGAAAGTTTCGAGTGGGAACAACATGTATTTGACTCCTCTGGACAAGGAAATATTCCATCTGGCGCCGTCACTCTGGTACCAAATGTGAATGAATAACTTAGAAATGAATAACTTCCCAATTATTCCAATTGGGAAGTTACTCAAAAAATAGAAACGACTCTTTATTGCAAAAATATCAATTTGTCGTTGCAATAATTTTGAATTATATCGCTCACCCAAAGTGTATTGCGTGTTGTCGAGTATCCAGGATCCAAACAAGATTGGACAGTTTTGTTGGTCGTACGGGAAGTCGGTGACGTCGAAATTGCATGTGAGTTTGACGGTGATGAGTGTTGTCAAGCAAGACACTATGCCCCTGTCACCCCTCACAAACTGACGGGGGAAGGCGTCGTGTAGAATCTCAACCGCGTCCAGCATTACTGAAACAAATGAGACGTCTGAAAACGTCAGAGAGTTCTTAGCATGTCTTTGGTGTTACAAAAATGTTATACTTTAATATAACTACTTTGTCTGTACTCAAATCAAATTTATCTTCGAATTCAAGTTGAATACATGTCAAAAGTTACCAGAAGGTCTAATGACAACCTTTCAGGCTAATGATTCAAGGATGCCACGATTTTTATGTCAGATAGGCGTGAAAACGGTTTTTATGTGAAGAGTTCGGGCGTATTTGTCAGTACCAACTTACCTGAAATAAAATACTTTCCTTTTTCACAACCAGAACTATAAGATTAATTGACCTTTAGACCAGAGCTGGCTTAATTGATCATATGCCTACTTTTATTGACAAATTGTTTTCCTTATATATCCAAAATTTACCAAAAAAAAAGATTTTCCTGAAACTTCCCGGGCTATTCCAAAATCTTACTGATATCTGCAGTCCAGAAAGTTTCGAGTGGGAACAACATGTATTTGACTCCTCTGGACAAGGAAATATTCCATCTGGCGCCGTCACTCTGGTACCAAATGTGAATGAATAACTTGGCAGTCAGAAAACCTTGTTTTTCATCCACGTTCAAAATCTTCTACAGATCCGAATAAATGTACACGCTGTTGTTCAACATATCAACGGGTGGAAAATATTTGGGCACTATTTTAGTTAAGTGATTGTAAAGGTTTGCCTCGAAAGGAACTCCATCATTGGAATTTATAAACGCAAGAGCAGTTCTACATGTAACAGCACTAGCCAAAAACAAATAAAAAAATTTAGCAAAACTTTTGGAAAAGATAAATATCATTATCGCGTAGTTTTTCACTCTCTTTACCTTCCAAGACTTATCAAAAATGCACACCTGGGATTTCAAAGTTAAATCAATAATAGTTTCTGAAAAGAAATTTTTTTTCTATTTTGCAGCTGATACTACGTGACAAAGAAACAAAAAAACTCTTAAGAAACGAAGGCTTTAATTGAGTGCCATATCGTTACTTTTTTGTCCGTTTTGAAGTTTTGCAGCTTTTTTTAAATAATGTTCTCTGCATTTTGATATAACTTTCACCAAAAGAGGCAGCCCCCACCTCGTTTTTTTCTGTTTTGCTGGTTCTAACTTTTTGAAACAAAATAAATGAACTGCAAAGAAAGTGAAAAACAGTATATTCTTGGAAAAAAGGGAAGCACATATTTTCTGAAACTTAGAATTTCAAAATATTAATCTCGGATAGAGTCAGTTGATACGAGGATGCCGCGTTCTTGGTCCAGCAATTTAA